GCGGGATGGCCTGCGCAGGCCACCAACCCAGTGCAGCCCAGGGCGGCGGTACCAGCCAGAGCAGCGGCGAACAGGAGCAGGGGACGCGCCTCCGATAGGCCAGGCTTAGGGACCTGCGGAGGAGAGGGCGGGATCAGCACCGGTGTAAATGGGTACTTGATTGGTTGCTGGGACTCGCCCCGCCCCCGCTCATAGATGGGTCCTCGCTCTTCCCGCCCCCAACAACTCGGGCAGCTGTGGTTGGTCGGCTTGCAAGCCTCTAGTCTTGTCTGAACTCGTCATTGGCTGCTCTTCTAGCGGCTGCGTTGATTGGCTGCCAAAGCACCCTCCCTCCCGCAGAAGCCCAGCCTCATAGAGGAGCAGCTAAGCACAGGCGGCTTGGGGCTCGTGGAGGCGGCGGGGGACGCCGCGGCGGGCGGGCGGGTGGGTGGAAGCAGCCGGACGTACCCTGGCAGGGAGCAGCAGGTGGCGGCGGTGCATGGGGCCTGGCCCCACCAGCGGGCACTGGCCCAGAGCCACGGCCGGGGGGCCATCTAGCTGGAGAGAGAAGGGACAGGTGACCCAATCGGAGCCCGGCCGCCTCGGTGGGGGGCGAGAGACAGGGGACCGAGGTCGGGGAGGGGATCGAGGGAGCTCCCGGACGGGATTTGGCGAGAAGCCTGAACCGTGGGAGATCTGGTGGCTATGGGGCTGAATGGAAGGTTCTGTTGCCTGGAACCCTAAAGGAGTAGGTGAGCCCTAAATCTGGACGGGGAGATGGGGACAGGGTCTGCAAAGAGGGGGCAGCAGGCTTGACGCAGGGGAAAAAGAGGGGTCTTACATGGGAAGGTGGATCCGTGGCCCGGGGACTGGGGACCCCCGTGACAGCTGGAAGGAGAAGAGAGAGGTGTAGGGTGCGTGCAGTGACGGAGGAGGACAGTGGCGCGGTGTGCCTCAGCCTGGGCCACTCTCCCTCCCCCAGGTGTCCACACACGCTGGCGAGCCCCCCTCCCCTGGTGCCCTAGGGGAAGGAGGTGGATGAGGGACTCACCGGCAGCTCCCTGCGCCTGCAGCCCCTCCATCCGCTCTTGCAGCTGCTGGATGTGCGCCTCTAGGTCTCGGTTCCTGGCATCAGCCTCGCGGAGTTGACTGAGGGGAGGTAAGGACCGTGAGCCCTTTGGGGTCTCTGGGAGAGGCTGCTAAAGGTAGCGACAGGCCCCTGTGCCCTGACCCCGACCTGGCGAAGTTCTGGTTGGCCGTGCGGATGGCCTCCAGCTCCCTGCTCAGGCTCTCCCGCGTAAGCATCTCTTCCTCCAGGGCCTCCTGGAGCTCCTGCAAGGTCACCTCGGCCTCTGCCACATCCGCTGGGATTGCCACTGGAACTGCCACTTCAGCCTGCACATAGGGACTGGGCTTAGGGCTGCCGTGGCTCCTGGGGCACTCAGGACTTGGGCATAGGTTCCAGGCCTGGGATCCTCTCTTGCCTTCTACATTTCTAGATCTTTCTGGAATCCCCACAGTTCCTGCAGTGATCCAGGCACCCTCCTTCCCTAACCCACCTCCCACCCTGGTCTCCAGCCTTTCATGGGCTCCACTTCCATCCACCTCCTTACAGGAACCAAAGGGTTGTCCCTAAAACACTAACTCAACTTGACCACGGTGCAGCCTTGCTCAAAACTTCTCTATCTCCTCAGGGCCGGCAGGAGAAGGCCTGCTGCACCAGAAGGCCCGGTTTGGTTTGGTTTGGTTTGGTTTGGTTTGGTTTGGTTTGGTTTGACCTCTGCAGCCTCCCTCCCCTCACTCTTCACCCCCCTTCCGCTGGAACAGTTCAGCTTCAATACCCTCCTTTCAGGGTCACGAACAAACCAGCTGGTTCCCACCTCAGGGCCTTTGCTAACCAGTGGGCACTTTCCTTCCCATGGGTGGTCCCCTCCTTCTGCAGGGCTTCCCCTGCCCAGAGAGTCCCCAGCACACACACTCAGTGCCCTCTGGTCGTCTCTGACGGAAGTAACACATTTTCCGTCTCTGAGTCAGCTCTCAGAGGCCTTAGTGCTCCATGGCACGCGCTACCCTGGAAATCTGTGCCTTTCCTCCAACAACTCACCTTTTCCTCTGGTGGGGGCACCCTGGGCTCCAGGCTGGGCACTTGCACAGGTGGCTCAGGCAACGGCTCGGCCTCCAGTTCCATGGGCATGGGGCCCTGGACCTCATCGTCCCTGGGGAGAGGGAGAGGGCGAGGGGGAGAGAGCCAGGACTCCCTAACCTCTGGTCATGGGGCAGCTAGATCCAAAGACCCGCGGTTTGAGGAGGGGGGCAGAGTGAAGGGAACAAGTTGCTAAATTGGTGTGACAGGTCTTCCTCTTGGAAAGGAAAAAGGCTGCCCTTTGCATGGCCTCAGGCCCCTGGGAGCTGCCCTCTGCACCTTCTGTGGGAACTCGGGGAACAACACCCATGTCCTAGGGCCCACTCATCTCCTCCCTCTCCAGGTGCCCTTTGCAGACCCCTCTCCTTAGGGCCCTCAGGACAGTGAGGCGACCCACTGAGTGGAACACTGCCCACCTCCAAAGGTAGAGTCTTAGGACTGTGTGTGGATCCCAAGACCGTGACTCTAGACATCAGCACACGCCCCACGCCCAGCTACTGGGCGGGACACAGACGCTCCCTACATACTAAGTGGCAGTAAAAGCAGGTGTTCCTCCCAGTCCAGCAGCCCCGCGTGGAACTGTGTTCAGGGACCTAACCATCGGCACACGCACCTGGACCAGCCTGTGCTTCATGCGGCCTGGCTTAGGGCCGGGGACAGGCTAACTGAGCCCTGCCCTGCCCAATAAGGAGAGTATACACAGCGGGTCAGGATCAGCTTGTAGTTCATTCATAACCAATGGTGTTGGTAATACATTGTCAGTAACAAAATAGGCTGGAATGCAGCAGGTTCTCGGGGTTAAAAATGTGTGTGTACCCATGAGCCAGGGGCCATTGCTGATGATGGACTTCCTTTTTCTTATCCACATATTATAATTCACTAATGCCAAGCAATGTATTATTAGTGGGGTTCCTGTTTTATTTTTTTTTTTTGATTGATTTTAGAGCGAAGAAAGAGAGAGAAATATTGATTTGTTGTTCCACTTATTTATGCTGTCATTGGTTGATTCTTTTTTTTTTTTTTTATTGCTTAAAGTATTACAAAGGGTATTACATATGTGTCCATTTCTCTCCCCCCCCCCCCCCCCCGCCCTAGACAGTCCCCTAGCGGTTGATTCTTGTATGAGCACTGACCAGGGATTGAACCCACAACCTAGGTATATCGGGGCAGCACTAACCAACTGAGCCACCCGGCAAGGGCTGGAATTAATGTTTTAAAAAGGCTTTATGTGAGTGATTCATTGAATTTGTGTTGTTTTAAGAAATGTTTTAAAATTCTAAACATTTTGCTTTCTAGGATTCTGAGGTCCCGTTACTCTGTACTAGAAATCTAAAAGTGACTCTGAGGTTTTACAATCGAATCTTAACATTTCAAAGTACTGTGGTCTGAGATTTAAGGCCCTACAGCTCTGGGTTCCTAAGAGCCCTTGGTCCCAAGTCAGTAAAGTTCCAAGACTGATCCAGCAATTCTACTGGGCGCTGATGGGCCCGGATACTGTCACCCTGACAGCCTCCTGCACCCCCAGCCTGCTCCGCACAAGCCACACAGGGGCAGCTCTTACCTGAGGGCCATGCAGGAGTAGGAGTAGCCCACAAAAGGCAGGTGGACCCCCAGCGGCATGCCTTCCCGCATGTCTGACAGCGTCTCCTAATACAAGAGAATCAGACAGGAGGCTGGCCCCTCACCCCTTACGTCTCAAATTTCCCCCCAAACCCACCCTTCCTTAGGGCCTATAAAGTGTCCCTCCGTCATTCATGGTGTCCTGTTTCCCTCAAGGTGCTCGCCACAGTATCAGTATCTACTTCTCCAAACGGAAGTGGCTGCGGGACCAGGGCAGTGCCCAGCACAGGGCACCAGGCTGACTGAGCGCCAAGACAGCTTGTGTAACTCGAGAGGGAGGCGGCCTCAGGGAGGGAGATGTTTCTATGGTGCTTTCCTGCCTTCTACCTTGGCTCCGATAGGGCCCTTCTCCAGGAGGCCCTACCCCTGTCCTCCTTCACCCCAGCCCTGATTGCTCTGGGGTGTCATCGTCTGGGGACAAGTCTGTGTCCCCCATTGGACTGCGAGTCTAGGCCACCGCTGGGCTCCCAGCCCTGGACAGGCACAGAGCAGTTCATGGGAAGAAATGATGTCAGGCCCCCAGGAGGTGGGCACTGTCGTTGCCCGAACTGAATGGAGAAGGGGTCGCAGGTACCTACCCCGCCCCCGCTCACCATGGCAGTGAGCCCATCTTCCACCACATCGAAGTTGCACGTGTCGGTGGCACCCTCAAAATCCGGAGTAAACGGAGGCACGCTGTCTCGGAGACCATCCCAATCGAGGCCGAAGAAGAAAGGATGCTTCTGGAAATCGCCTGCTCCATTCCGGCCCAGCCGCGTCTCCGGGGGACACAGCAGCCGCTGGATGAGGTCGCGGGCCTCCTCGGGGACCCCTGCATCCGCCAGCGGTAGGGAAAGGTGCTCCTGCTCCGAGGGCGCGGGAGAGCGGGGCTGTCAGCCTGGGAGCAGGCGCAGAGGGGTCGGGGCTCCCGGGGCTCCGCTCACCTTGTAGTGCACGATCTTGCCGTAGGTCTCAGCCGTGGAGTCGGCGTAGAAGGGCGTCTGCCCGTAGAACATTTCATAGGCGAACACGCCCAGGGCCCACCAGTCACACTCGGGGCCGTAGCTGCCCGGCCCCGGCCCGCCGCCCACGGCCTGCAAGATCTCGGGGGACAAGTAGTCGGGGGTGCCCACAGCCACCAGCGACCGAACCTGAGTCAACAGAATCGGAGCTGGGCTCAGCCCCGCCCCCCTGAGCCCTGACCCCGCCTCCTTCTAGCCCCGCCCAGCGCCCCGGCCCCGCCCCCTGCCTGTCCTAACTCTGAGCCCGAGTCGCCTCCTCCTCCTTCGCCCCCCAACTCCAGGCCTGGCTCTGCCAACGCGCGTCAGCCCGCCCCGCACCGCATCCGCCCCCACCCCAGCCCTCACTGGTGGCACCGGCGGGCGCACCGCTCACCATTCCGTCAGCCCGCAGCTTGAGGCAGGAACCGAAGTCGGCCAAGCGGATGTGGCCGCAGCGGTCGAGCAGGATGTTGTCGGGTTTGATGTCCCTGCCCAGCGGGGAGGTGGGAGCGGAGGGGGCAGGTGAGCCTCCCTCCCACCCTCTCACCAGGCTCAGGCCCCGTTCTCTTAGGGACTAGAGTAGACTCTCCAGCTCCCAGGCCTCCAGGCCTCGCCCTCAGGCTCTGTCTCCAGGTCCCTCTCCAGGCGCTGCCCCCCCCCCCCGGGCTCCACCATTTGTCCAGGTTCTCCCCCCCGCCTCCGCCCCTGAGGCGCCCACCTGTGCACATAGCCCAGCCGGTGCACCGAGTCTATGGCCATGACAATCTCCGCCAGGTAGAAGCGCGCCATCTCGGCCGGGATCCGCTCCCCAAACTTGCTCAGCAGCGTCAGCAGGTCCCCGCCCACGTAGTACTCCATGACCAGGTACTGGAGGGGGCGTGTCGCGGGGTCAGTAAGCCCCGGGGTGACCGGGCTGATAGCCCTGGACAAAGACTCCCAGAGATCCCGCAGCAGCAGCCCCAAGGGAGCCCCAGAGGTCTTCCAGGCCAAATCAGAGACCCCCTCCCCCACCCAGAACCCCCAATTCTGCCAGATGTCACTAGGCAGAGATCCACTCCCCCCGAGAAGAGGACCCAGAGGCCTCCTGGTGCCCAGAGTGCACAGCTCCCCAGACCCCCCGCTCAGACTCCGCAGAGCTCTCCCATTCCAGGTAAGGTCCCCCCAAGGCGCAGCTTTATAGAGCCCCCAGAATCAGCCTGCGAACGCCCGCCATCCCGGGAAAGGAAGCCGATTCCTACCACAGGGCTCCCCACCCTAAAACCGCTCCCTGCCCGCCTCCTTGATTGACAGCCTTGGGGTGGACTCACCAGGTAGTTCTCGTCCTGGAAGGCGAAGTGCAGCTGCGTGATCCAGCGCCGGTCCCCGTTCACCAGCACATCCCTCTCTTCGCGGAAGCACGACACCTGCGGGGCAGCGGGAGGCGCTGAAGCGGTTGGGGGGCTGGGGGTTGCGGGGAGACTCCCCCGCGCCCAGCACAGCCGGCACGGGCCTCACCTCGCCTCTCTTCAGCATATCCCACTTGTTCATGATCTTCATGGCGTACACCTGGCCCGTCTGCTTCATCTTCACGACCGCGACCTGGAGGCCGACACGCGGGGGCTGGGGTGGCGGCGGGGAGGAACACCCACCGCCCAGGCAGGACTCCACCGAGACCCCGCCCACCGCGCCACGCCCATCGGTCTTAAGCCCCGCCCCTGCTGGTTTTAGGCTCTAAACTCATTCATCAATTTCTAAGGCCCCGCCCCCAGTCCCGGGACCTGCCTAAGGCAGGGCAAGGCCGGCTCCGGCTGTGGCGCAGGGCTCACCTCGCTGAACGCCCCGCGTCCGATCACCTTCAGGATCTCGAAGTCCTCCCTCTGCAGCCGGGCCTCCTTAAGCCTCGCCGCGATGGGCTCCACTGGGGGCGGGGCGGTGAGAACCGAGGGTCACCGGGACTGACAGTGGAGACGAGGAGGGATTCCCACACACTGTGCCTCAGTCTCCCCTCGCTGATCCTCACTCTCAACCTCCCCCTCTCTTTGCCTGCCCTTTAAGACTGTTGGCTTCCCAAAGGCTTCCCCACATAAGCACTGGGTGAGGTTTTGGGGATGCAAAACTGCCCTCCTACAGAAGTGGGAGGCCTGGGAACCCCTTTTTGGGACGAGGCATGGGGTCAGGGCTCCTGTGGGAGCAGGGGTGGGGTACGGGGACACGAGTCTGCAGAAAGGAGGCCCCGGAACAGGGAGGATCAGCCCAGTTCTAGCTCCCTGGGCCCCCACCCCCAATTGGGGTGATGGGAAAGGGTCCGAACATGCAGCTTTACCCAGTCCCTCTAGGCTCTTGGACCACACTTAGGGAAACAGTGACTTGGGGGGTGGGGCCGGGAGAAGGAGCTGAAGAGGGGACAAGGCCATGGTCGACCCGCATCCAGGGCTCCAGGCCCAGTTCAAATGTTTTCTCAGTCCTTGCAATCCGGGAGCAGCGCTCTGTTCTCCCCTAGTTACAGACGGGAACTCAAGGCTCCGACAGGTGAACTCCTTTGCCCAAGGTCCTACAGCTAGGAATGCTAACAGGGCAGTTTGGGAATAGAGGGGGGGAGTGGGGACTGAGGCGGGGTGGAGGCAGGAGACTCAGGGACTTGGGAGAGGGAGGCCTAGACCCCCAGGGGTGGAAGCCACTGGAGACCTCGGGTAGGGTGGAGAGAGGATGGGGGTGAGTAGGAATGAGGGGAGATACAGTGGTTATGGAGGGGAGAGAGGCGTCCAGATGGGGTTCGGGGAGAGTGGGCCAGCAGGGAAGAACCAGCGAGGGCCCAGGATTGGGGAGGGAGGAGAGAGCCAAGACATTGAGCCCTTTTAAGGCAGTGGGAACCCAGGCCCCCTCCCCCGCCAAGCCCGCAGGGGAGGGGCCCGCAGGATACTGCTCGGGCCACAAAAGGAGTGCTCCTCCCAGGAGAGCCGGACCCCTGCCCCCACCGCAGGTCTCAGTTTACCCCGCAGGTCAAACTTCATCCCCTGCAAAAAGGAGTCTACGAGAGTTGCTAAGGGGCTAGGGGGCGTGGGGGTAAGATTCTTGAGAGACTGAGTGGCCTGGCCCCTGACCTCCACCTTCCCATCTGCGAATTGGGAGGCAGGAGAGGAGCAGGGCCTGGGTTCCGAGGAGATGGACACAAGGAAAGAAGGGGCGGGAGAAGGCAGGAAGAGGAAACCCAGGGACAGAGGAGCCTAAGGACCCAGAGCAAGCCGTGGAGGGACAGGCCGTGGAGGGACAGACGGCAGGCTGTCACAGGCGCCCCAGTGAGCCCGAGTCCGGCCAGGAGAGGGTGGGGACCGGCGAGGCAGGAGGCGGCGGTTCAAGCATCGTCCCTCTGGAGGACTGGACCTATTTCTGGGGAGGACTTGGCAGGAAGGGGCTTTGTGGGAGAAGCGGAGGACGGAGGCCATGAAGGAGAATGAACGGGTCTGTGGAGCTGGAGTGAAGGCTGACCCTGCAGACTCAAAGGAACCAAAATGGATGGGCGGTTCCTCCTCCTGGGGGTAGACGGGGGACAGGGAGGCTTCTGTCTGGAGCTGGTTGTCCCCTAGGGCCTGCCTGAGTCACTGAGCCTGTCAGTGCCTGGGCACCTGTTGGGGCAGCCGGAGAGGCTGGCGCCTAACACCTGCCCATGGACCGCGCCCCTGGCAGCTGCCCCATCCTGTCTCTGTGCGAGCCCCTTGCTCTGGGAACCAGGGGGAGGCCATAGGGTGTGTGCGGGCACCTAAGAGACAGGAGTCCCAGCATGTCCCTAGGCCTGGACTGGGGGGTAGGGGTGCAGGGGGCCATGGGGGGCTGATCCCAGCCCAGCCCACCACGGCTCCCAAGTCATGGTTCTGAGTCATGGTTGCCCTGGCCTCTGCTGACCCCACTCTGCCCAGCAAGAGTGGCACAGGGGTAGGGGCATGTCACCCCAAGACCCAGGCCCCAGCTCTGGGCCCCTGAATAGGAAGCTCTCCCCATGTCTGCCCTGCCCTCCAAGAGCCTCCGACGCCCAATCCCATTCCCTGCCTCTGCCCTACCCCCACCTCCCAGTGGGGAGGGGGCATGCAGGCAGGTACTCACCCCACTGCAAGAAGTCGGCCACATACTTGTCCTGGGCCAGGTCGGAGGCACCCAGCTCCTGGTGGACGCCCAGGAGAAGGTCGAGCAGGGGCTCCAGCCCCAGGAAGCCGGGGTCCAGCACCAGCTGCTGGAGCCGCCTCAGCCGCACCTCGGCTGACATGTCGGGCAGGCAGCACCATGGCCCCCTCCCCGGGCCAGGGGCTCGGGGTCCTCTCGTCACGGGGCCTGGCAGCCCCTGTTCAGGCCCCAAGGCCCTGGCTGCATGTCCGCCTGTCCCTGGTTGTCCCCTGGGCCTCTGGCCACTTCTCTCTGCAGGCTGCAAAGGCCTCCTCCTCTTCTCCCCACCCCTTGACCAGCCCCCTCCCGCCTACCAGCCTTAACCCCTCACAAGCCAGGCCCCCCCAGAATGCTTCAGTGTGAGACTGGGGGGTAGAGAATCTCAACCATTCCATACCCCGCCCCCCAATAAAAGGCGGAGTACAGAGGAAAGCTAAAGCAACAGGTGTGACGGCCCAAGATGAGCCCTCCCATTCCCCAGAGGGGGCCAATTAAGGGCCAGTGACCTGGAACACTCCGCCCAAGCCCTGGAGTTGGGGGGGGGGGGGGGGGGGAGAAAGGGGGGAGGCCTGGGAAGGGGGGCAGGAGGCCAGGACAGCTTTGTGGGTGACTCAGCCGGGAGTTGGACTTTGGGGCAGTTTAAATTTAGCCCTCAGGCCTCCTGCTTTACACTCTTTTTTTTTGGCAGGAGGTGGGGAAGGGGTGGTGAGAGAATTGGGAAGGGAGGCCCTCAGGAGCCAAGACCAGGGGTGACACTGGCCAAAGACTGGGGGAGGCAGAGGAGCCCCCAAAATAGCTCCTTGGGCCCGGCATGCAGCCACATTCCTGCCCAGGCCAAGATTAGAAACAAACACTTGGGGGGGGAGCAGGAGAGCCAGCCAGGAGGGATCTGTTGTCCTTTCCAGGGCGCAGTCCTCCCGGAGGACACCGGTCTCCCGGGCAGCTGGGCTGGGCTGGGCTGGGCAAGCCGGCCGGAGGCAGCAGGAGGCCAAGCCCTGTGCTCACGGGCACTCGCTCGGGGCCTTTGGAGCTGCCTGGGGAGACCCCATTTGGGAAGACCCTGTAACATGGACTTAGGTTTGGGCATTTTTGAGCCATGCAACGCTGCAAACTCCCACCGAGGACTCCGGGAGGGGCCCTGGTGGTTCTCTTCCCTCCAGGGTTTAGGGGGAGACGCTCCTCCATCCAAGGGGTCCTGCTCACCGCTGGTTGGTGCCCTAAGCACATCCCTCCTCCCTCCTTCAGTTTTTCCCATTAAAAGGGCGGGAGGAGGCAGGGCCTGGCTGCTCCCGCTCGCCCGTCAGAGCGGACTGATGGGCCCGCGCTCTCCCCAGCGCACACCCAGTCCGATCCCATCTCCAAGTGCTTCCGTCCCTAAGCTCGAAGGGCCCTCCTGTGGCCTCTGTAATGTTTCCTGAGCCCATGCAGCCCAGGTGGCTCGGTTCTACTACCTTTTTTTTTTTTCTAACCTTCACTGGAGCACAAGCTTAGAGAGGGAGGGAAACACTGATCGGTTGCTATGTGCTCCATCTTCCCCACCCCATGCCCTGACCCGGATGAGACCAGCAACCTTTCAGTGCACTGGGTGCTCAACCAAGCGAGCCACCTGGCCAGGGCTCTGTAACTTTCTAAATAAACTTTATCTAAAAAAAAAAAAAAAAGCGGAAACGCAGTGAAAGCACACACACTCCCGCCACACCGCGAGGAAGGGATCAGAGACGCTGTGAAAACAGGGAACTTTAGTATAAATAAGAGGTGCTGGGGACAGAAGGGCCCTAAGGGGCTTCCATAACTTAACACTTTTCAAAAGCACGAACACCAGCAGGGGAGACGGGGTTTGGGCCGGCGGGGGCAGGCCGCCCCTGCCCTGCCCAGACTGAGGGGCACACTGTGGAGCTGGGGCTCATGGGTGGGGAGTTTCTCCCTCTCCCGCCCCAGGACCAGTCACATGCTGGGGACAGGGATGAGGCTAACACTGATGTTTCAGCGGAAAGGGTCATTGTACCTGGCAGTAGGTGGGGACAAGGCCGAGTCCACATGAGCCACTACATCCCCCCAGGGTCTAGGCCAGTCTGGGGGGACTCTCTGCCCCCCAGATTTGTGCATGGCAGAGCACCAGAGCAGTCCATCCGTCATGCTTAGTCTTGTTATCAGGTTGATCCGTGAGGTCAGCGGAAGGGTGATGGCTGGGAGGCGAGGCGGGTCAGGGAACCCAGCATCCAGGGCCTCACACCACTGTGCCGCTCGGGGAGTTGCCTGGTTGGGAGGAGATGCCCTGGGAAGAGGGGAGACAGCAGGGGTTAGAGAACATCTGAGGTCCCCCCACCCGGCCTTGCCCTCAGTCCACTGGACACCCCCCACCCAGGATGCTGCTCTAGGTTCTGGAACTTCCATCTCAACTAGCTTCCCCGTCCCAGCAGGCAGCACTTTCAGGCAATAATTGAAGTCCTCAGGTGATCCTGAGCAGAGGATGGGGTAGGGGTGGAGGTGGGGGAGAAGGGAAAACTGGGGTCCCCTTCTGGGGGGGGGGTGCCTGAGATTCTGGGGGGGGAAGAACTCAGGGACAGTCCTACCTCTACCACTGACTTGCTGGGTGACCTGGGCCAACTTCCTTCCCCTGTCTGGGCCTCGGTCTCGTCTGTGAACTAGGGAGGTAGAGGGGTCTCTTTCAGGACTCACAAGACTCCCCAAATCCCAACACCTCACCTATGAGGCTCTGAGTTCTAGGGATGCAGGGCGCTATGATCCCAAAACCTCCCAAGGAACCAAGCCACGGCCCTCAGATGCGACATGCTGGGCGCCAAGCCCAGACCGAGCAGCTGAGACATCAGAGTCCACAGCTCCAAGGAAACAGGCGCCAGGCCTGTGCTCCACCCCGAGCCCCATGCCCCCCCAGGGCGGGCACATCAGCCGCCTGCTGCCCGTCTTCAAGCCTCCCCGTCCTAAGAGGTGAGAGGGGCCGGGACTTGGCTGAAGTCACACAGGAAGACGTGCAGGACTGGGCCGGAGCCTGGTAATCCCGTCTGTGCCCCCAGCACCGGGCTCCTACGCCAGGGCCAGGCTGGAGGGCGAGCCCAAGGCTCAGTCTTGCCCACAGAACTTGACCCGCAGTATCCAGTCTCATCATTTAAAAATCACATTTTCCACAGAAATACGGATCTGGCTTCAAGGAACAAGTGGCAAGACCTGGCTGTGCTGGGCCAGGGGCTGCCCTCTGGTAGCCGGCCATGGTCCCTACCACGCCCCGCGCTCCTACCTGACCGTGCGGACTGCTGCCCAGGGTTCTAGACCTGCCGTGAGATGTGGCAGGGCCTGCTCTGAGACACTAAGATGGCACGGCTGCCCCGCACCCTACGGGCTAGAGGCTGTGATGATGACCAACTGCTCTCCCCAAACCTGCCTCCCCGCGTCCCAGGTCCCGGGCAGGCCGGACTCACCGCCTTGCCCGGCCGGGCCCAGGTGCAGATGAGGCCCTCCTGGCAGGCGGTGATGATGCAGTCCTCCAGGAACAGGAGGACCGTCAGCCGCTCCTGGGCGATCTTCTTGCACACCAGGGGCTCGAGCAGGGGCACCTCGTGGATGCGTGGGCACAACGCCGTACCCAGCACCTTGGCCGGGTCCAGACGGCTGTGGGGAACAGGGCCGCTGGGCTTGTCCCCGCTGCTGCCCCCCCCGCCCCCCCGGCTGATGTTGCCCAGGCTGTGGTAGCGCTTGTGCTCCTTCTCCGCCCCCCGGTCCCTCCGTTCCTGCAGCGTGAGCGTGGCGAAGCGGCCGATGCTGAACGGAGTGCCCGGCTCCGTCCCTGTGCCCGGGCCACCCGCCTTGCCACTGCCCGCTGGGTGTGGGAGGCTGTTGGAGCGGGACAGTGAGCGGGGCAGGGACCCGGGGCCGGGCTCGCCATCCCGAGAGCTGCTGGCAGCAGGCGGCGTGGTGCTAGGCGTGCTGGGGAGCGTGCGGGTGCGGGCCAGGGGTGGGTGTGGGTAAAGCACGTCTTGGGTGAGGTCCCACAGGCAAAACTGCGTGTCCTGGCCAGCCGAGCCGAAGTGGTAAGTGATGGAGCCGGCCTTGGGCATTGGGGAGAGTGGGTCTCCCCCATTCGAGCCGGGGCCGGCCACCTCGGTCTCCTCCTCCTCCTCCTCCTCGACACTCCGTCCTGCATCTCCACTGGCTGCTGCCGCCTCCTCGGCCCTTGTGGTGTAGGGGTCGAAGGCCACAGCATTGACCCAAGACTTGTGGCCATGGCCGCGGGCCACCACGCGGCCCTCGGTGAAGGTCCACACGGTGACCGGGTCCTCTTCACCGCCCGTCACAACATAGCGCCCATCGGGGCTCCAGCACACGCAGAGTGAGCCCCCAAAGCAGCTCTTCATGAGCCCCCGCAGGAGCATGGAGTCAAAGTGAAAGACGCGCAGGCAGCCGTCCTGGCTGCCACGGGCGAGAAGGCAAACTCATGGGGGGGCCCCTCGCCCACCGCCCACTTGGCCAGCGAGTTGCGGGGTGCCCTGCTCTTGGCAGCGTGGACGGCGAAGCCCTCCCCCCGCTGCAGCAGGCTGTACTGGGGCGGGGGTGGGGGGTGGGGGGGCGACGCACAGGGGTGGCTGACATTGTACAGGTACAGGCGGCCGCTGGCGTGTGATGCCAGAAACAGGCTCTCCGACTCAGGCAGCCACTTCAGGTATGTCACCTTGGTCTTGTCGATCAGCCGCTGCCAGGAGAGATGATGGGGTGGGGAGAAGGCCATCAGACCCTGACTGACCTCCTTCCCAACCTGGTTCCCCAGGAGGCCATCAGACGTGGCCCAGGCCCCCTGGGAGAAGAGCCCCCCTCTAGGGAAAGGGCGGTCATGGGCACGCAGAAGGGCTGCTTTTGCGGCGGCCACAGAGCTCCATGAGCCTCAATGTCCCATTTGTGGCAAGGGGACAGTCCTGCCTCCCAGGGAACTGTCTTCCGTCTAATGCCCCCACTGTCTTTCCATGTTGGGCTCAGGGCAATAACCTGACCCACAGGCCATCGGCTCCCCTAAGGAGCTGTGCGGCTCCCCTAAGGAGCTGTGCGGCTCCCCGCCCCAGCCCCAGCGCAGAGCTGTGCACACACGGGTGCCTGGCAAGTATTTCCTAGACGCATGAATGGCAACCCCATCCTGCCTGCAGCTCATCTTTGCTCCTTTTCTCCTCACAACTCACATCCAATCTTCAATAACAGGCAGAGCCTGACCTCTGCTCACCCCGAGCCCCAACCACCCCGGTGCCAGCCACCATCAACCCTGGAGGGCCTCACTGGCCACTAGGCCACCACTGCCCGTGTCCGTTCCCCACACTGCTGCCCGAGAGCTGCCATTAGTGTGAGTCAGCGCCTGCGCCCCCCACTCTGAACCCCAGGGCAGCCTTTCTCAACCAGGGGTTCAGAGAGAACTAAGCCCTGACGCCCTTAGGCATCCACCGAATGGAAGGAATTTCTTTTCTCCGTATCCAAGTTGCTTCTCATTCTTGGGAGAATTGAGAAAACAACCAGGTCAAAGCACTTCTGTGCTATACGGCTCAGCTGAGCCCAGGGGAGAGGCTCTGAAGCCCAGCTTTCCACAGCCTTCCAGCCCCTACAGGACCCGGCCCCTCCACTGACTTCCGGGAGCGCCCCCCCCCCCCCCAACTGCTGCGACCAGGTCCTGCCGCGGGGCTCTGTCCCCGCCTCCCTCTACTCAGAATGTCCTCCCCCGGTTCCTTCTTCTTGCCTCCTTCACGTCTTCATTTCAATGTCACCCTCCCAGTGAGGCCCTCCCTGACCACTACCCCACCTCACCTCGCACCCGCACGCCCCTTCCTCGCCTGACTTCTCCCCGCAGCACCCAGCACCTGTGGCGAACCGCCCGCTCCACGTGCTGGGTAACTGCCTGCCCTGCTAGATGAAAGCTCCACAGAGGCGGGCCCTCTGTTTTGTTCACCGAGATGAGCCCTCCCCAGTGCTGAGAACACGCCTGGCCCTGAACAATGCTCCGTAACTATTCTGTGAACGAGTGAGCTGGCGCCTTTTTATTCCATTCACTGTTCCACGCACTCCCTTCTGCCATTCATGCAATTCTATGCAGATGGAACCCTGCTTCTGAACAGACGCACAGGGCACGAGTGCCCACAGATAAGGCTGCTCGCCGGCATTTCCTCTTGTGCCAAGACTGCCCAGGACTAAGCCATCTCCATGCATGATTTTACAACAGTCCTGTGAGGTAGAGATGAAAGCCCCATTTTGCAGAGCAGGAAACCGGAGGTGCCGGGAGGCACTGTCACCTTCCCAAAGCCACACGGTGAGTCAGTGTGGTACAGCAAGGATTTGAATCCAATGCCCACAGGGCCCAGAATTTAAAGACCAACGGCTCTGACTTAAAACCAGTCCAAACTGACTAGCCTCAGTTCTCTAATCTGCAAAATGGGCCTCTCAATCCCTAACCCATTGGTTGATGAAAACTCCAGGAGTGCCCTGGCTGGTTTGGCTCAGTGGACAGAGCGTTGGCCTGCGGACTGAAGGGTCCCGGGTTCGATTCTGGTCAAGGGCACATGCCTGGGTTGCGGGCTCGATCCCCAGTGGGGGGTGTACAGGAGGCAGCTGATCAATGGTTCTCTCTCATCATTATGTTTCTATCTCTCCCTCTCCTTTCCTCTCTGAAATCAATAAAAATATTTAAAAACAAACAAACAAACAAAACTCCACGAGTAATGTATTCAGCGTATGACTAACAAAGCACAGGGCCTGGGCACAGTAGGCGCTGGTGTCATTATTAGCTATCACACTGGCTGCTGTCTGTCACCCATCCCACGTAGCTGTCAGTCCACCCCCCTTTCTCCCTCATCCTGTCCCTCTCCGGCCTACACTGCTCCCCAGTGAGCCACAGTTTAATGGCAAACAGTATGTGTGGGGTTGGGAGGGAGAGCAGGGAAGGGGCCACCTGGGGCTCCACAGTCACCTCTTCATTGAATAGCTCGCTGGTGTCCTTCTTGATGAGGTCCAGGCGCTGCACCCAGCCGCCTGGGAGCCCCACCAGCAGGGAGGCGGGCTCCGTGGCGGCAGTGAACCGGTTGAAGTCCCGGCAGGGTGGGCTGGGTGCCCTTATAGATCCGCTTGCCAATGGGCTTGTTGAGGTCGATGGACTTAAGCGATGGGAGAAAAGGAGTTAATGGCTTCTACCACTGAGGAAGGAAGAGGGTGTTGAGGTTGGAGAAAACCACTAATCGGAAGCAAGGTTAACCCCCCGAGGGAAGTGGGCAGGTAGATGGGTGAGTGCGGAGGGAGGGAGCAACCACCGACAGGAAGAGGGACCCAAATTTCATACAGAATAGAGAAAAGAAAAGACGGGAAGGACCCCCCGCACCCAGGGCAGAAGACCACAGTGCCTCCCCAAAGTTGGACCCTTCCAACTTCAGGGACACCCTTACTCACAGCATTAGGGTTCGGGGTCCCCATAGTCCCTGAGCTCTGATTCCTTTCCAGTCCTACCTCATAACCTCAGCCATCTCCTCTGGGTCTTAGCAACACAATATCCCAATCCCCTGCCCCCAAACCCCCCACCAACTCAGGGTCACCCAAATCCCCAGGCCTCTAAAACTCATCTCAGGAGTCCCTACAACAGTTCAAGGACCATTAAACCTCATGGTACCTTCACACCCTCTGGACGCTCAGGACCCCCATCCCTCCTGGGGACCACCGTAAGCTCCAGGGGTCTCATCCCCTCTGGCCCCTAGATCACTGCAGAGACCCCATCACACCTGGGGATGTACCCTCTGGGCTTCATCGCCTCCAGCTCTCCCATCAGCTCAGAGATCCTCATTTCCTCCAGAACCGTAATTTCCTCTGGGATCCCTATAACCTCTCAGCCCCCATCACTTCCGGAATCCTGACCTTTGGCTGCCCAGGTCTGGAGACCCCCCTCCTCCTAACACCTCCACAGACTGCAATGCCCCTGGGTTCTGCACCACCTCTGGGTTCCCGTCACCTGCAGAATGCCTGCCGCCCAGAACCCCGAGGGTCTACATCACCTCGGATTCTCCATCACCTCCAACATCCTCACCATCCCCATATCTCCCCTCCGCCCCACCCCACCCCCCATAACGGGGATCCCACAGGGCCCCAAGGCTTCCCATCCCCTCCAGGCTGCCCGGCACCGGGAGGCCTCCATCGCCTTAGGATGATGCATCACCCCCAGAACCCTTTCCCCCAGGGACGTCCATCACACCCAGATGCCGATCTCCGGGCCCCCTAGGGACCCCCACCCGCTCAGCACCCCGGCCGCCCGGGACGCAGGCCGCTCACCCGTTGGCTCCCGCGGCGGCAGCAGCCCGGGTAGAAATAGAGCTCGCGGCCCAGGTTGAAGCAGACGCGGTCTCCTCCGGCCCCCAGGCCCGCGGGCGTGGCGGGTGGCTCCCCGGTGCCGGCGGTGTCCGGCTCTCCGAGGCGAACGAGGCTGAGGCGCACCGCGGGCAGCGCGGGCCCGGGCCCGGAGCCTGCGGGTGGCGGGGACGACGCGGGGCCCGCGGCGCCGGGGCCGGAGGTGGAGGCAGGGCCCGGCGGGGGCTGCGGCGGCTGGGGCGGCGCCGGGGTCTGGGCGGAAGCCGGGCCCGACCTGCGAGCGGCGCCGTCTCCGGGGAGCAGCTTGTAGAAACCCTGGCGGGTGCGGAACTGCGACTTGATCTCCGCGCAGTCCCCCATGGAGGCGCCCGGGCCCGAGCCGCCCTCCGCTCCGCCCGCCGCCATCTTGGGCGCCCCCCCGGGCCCGCCGCTGCCCGCCCGCAGCCCGCCGCCGGGCCCCCTGCCGGAAGCCGCGGGCCCGCGCCGGAAGAGGTGGGGTCGTCGCCCCGACGACGTCTCCTTGATTGGCAACGGGGCCGGGAGGAGGGACCAGCCCGGCTGTCGCTCGGGTAACGGTCCTGGGTCTCCGGGCGGGGCGAGAAGGTGGGCGTGGCCTTCGTGCCGGAGACGACCGAGTGGTTGGCTGCGGGGGCGGGGCCGCAGGGAAGGGGCGTGGTATTTAAAAAGAACAGGTCCCTAGCAACGGCGCCCTGGGAACCGTTTGCCTAGCAACGGAGAAACCCTCCAGAGAAGGCCTCCTTCCTGCCCTGGCCTCCCTGTGACCTCACAGATGACCCCAGATGACCCCAGTGTCTCCAGAGACTCTCGACACACACCCTCCTGACTTCCAGTGTTTCCCACGGACGTCTCCTGTCCCCCACTGGCCACAGCTTCGCCAGCCATTCCTCCGCACCCCTGATGATCCCCCAAACCTCACTGATCTCAAGTCTCCATAAAACTCCGAGGACTTCCTGGCTGGTTTGGCTCAGTGGATAGAGCGTCGGCCCGTGGACTGAAGGGTCCCGGGTTCGATTCTGGTCAAGGGTACATGCCTGGGTTGCAGGCTCGGTCCCCAGAGGGGGGCGTGCAGGAGGCAGCCGATCAATGATTCTCTCATCACTGATGTTTCTATCTCTCTCTCCCTCTCCCTTCCTCTCTGAAATCAATAAAAATACGTTTTAAAAAAATGTTAAAAAAACACACACAAAAAAATACTTCGAGGACTTCATCTGGCCCACTACTGATTAATACCAACCCCAAACATCTCCATGCTTCCCACCAACCTCCAATATGTATCTCCATGATTCACTGTCTTCAACAATCTCACTTGGTCCTCCAACACCCACCTTCGATTCCAATATTACACTGGGCCCCGTAAGCTCCCCAGTGTTCCAATGATCTGCCAGTCACCCCAAACCTCCTCCTGGTCCCAGCCGTGCCCACAGGTAGCCAGTGCCCCTGACTTCTGCTGAAGCCACGCTGCCCCATCACAGATATTCCGAGACCCACTTATTCAGTGGCCTCCCAGATTGGTCACCAAATGTCCCAGGGGCATCTCACTCACACTCAATAAGTCCTACAATGAACTAACTTGACATCTTACTCCAAATCCTGCTCCTCTCCTGTGACCCATTCTTAGGGCCAGCACTATCACCCCCCAGACCTGAGTGTCTGCCTAGATTTGTACAATCCTTCCCCCCCCCACCCCCCCCCCCCGCTTCCTGTCCTCAGGTCTTGCATTCTGTCACCTAAAATCCTCGTTTCCAGCCCCTTCTTCTGCACAGCCATGGTCCAACCTGCTCCTCTCCTGCTCCGGGCCCTGAACCAGCCTTATTTCTGCTCTCCCAGGCTCCTGTCTCACTCTCCTGTCTATCCTCCCCGTGGCATCTAGAGAGGTATGTCTGAAGCACAAACATGACCAGGCCCTCCCCTGCTGAAAGTCCATCTGTGGCTCCCTAGTGCTCTCAGGGCAAAGTTAAGCCCTGGATGATCTATTTCCTGCCAACTGCTTTCCTGTCACATCTCTCACCACTAAATCCTCACCCCATGTCCCCAAAAATGAGGTTCGAGAAGCTACCTCAGTACATCACCTTCTCTCTTACCCTTGGGCCTCTGCACACGCTGTTCCTCTGCTTGGAATGCCCTTCCCCACTCTGTCATTCACTCCCCCCCCTTTTTTAAAAAATATATTTTATTGATTTTTTACAGAGAGGAAGGGAGAGGGATAGAGAGTTAGAACATCGATGAGAGAGAAACATCGATCAGCTGCCTCCTGCACACCCCCTACTGGGGATGTGTCCGCAACCAAGGTACATGTCCTTGACCGGAATGGAACCTGGGGGACCCTTGAGTCTGCAGGCCAATGCTCTATCCACTGAGCAAACCGGTTAGGGCCCCCCCTTTTGTTTTATTAAGTTGGGAAAGAGGAAGGGAGAGAGAGATCGATTTGTTGTTTCACTTATTCATTCATTGGTTGATTCTTGTATGTGCCCTGACCAGGGATCAAACCTGCAAACTTAGCATATCGGGTTGACGCTCTAAGCAACAGAGCTACCCAGCCAGGGCTGCTCCTGACCCTTTAAGAGCCAGCTGAGGGGCTCTGTCAGTCCTCCGGGCAGCACCATCTGGGTTGTCATTGCCTGGGACGCTCCCATCTCCCCTGTAGAGTAAGAGCCGTGAGAAACCAGAGGCTGCTTGGTCATCTCTGTGTCCCCTGGGCTAGACTGAGCTGACAGGAGGCTTTTTATTTTATTTTTAATATTTAAATCCTCACCCAAGGACATGCCCATTTAGAGAGAGGGGAAAGGAGAGAGACCTCGGTGGGTTGCCTCCCTGGTTGCCTCCTGTGTATTCGCCCCCTCCGGGCATCGAACCTGCAACCCAGGTATGTGCCCTGACCGGAAATAGAACCCTCGGAGCACAGGACAACGCTCCCACCAACTGAGCACACAGGCCTAGGCTCACAGAGGCATTTCATGTCCAGATGAATGAGTAAATGAAACAGAGGGGAGAGACTATGCAGAGCAGTGTCAGTGTTCCCAGCAGAGCCCGAGAGCCCCGACAAAGAGGTCGTGCCAACAGATTGGTGAGCAAATGAATAAATGACCGGGTCGTAATGCCATGGGAACATTTCATTCAGAGCAGCTGCCTTCCAGGGGCAGAGAGCAAACTAACAGTGAAAAAATAGCTCATAACTATGTATAAGGAACAACACGCTATCTATCTATCTACCTGGTTGGGGGAGGGGTCTGTCAGGCCTCAGTCCTCGGGGTCCTCGTCTTCATCTTCCTCCTCATCCTCTTCCTCTTCCTCCGCAGCCGCCAGGGCCTGCTCCTGGGCAGCCTTCAGGGCCTGCTCCTCCTCCACCGTGGGGTCGCTCATCTCCATGATCTCCAGGCCGCTGGGGTACTCTTGCTGGATGGGCGGTGGCAGCATCGGGTTGAAGTTGTCTGGACTGTACTTGTGGCCCCAGCCGATGTACACGTTCTCAAACTTCCTGGAGGGGCAGTGAGATACTGGGAAGTCCTCCCTCCCAGGCCCCGGCCTACAGGTCGTTAGGGTGGGAGTCAGCAGGATGGAAAAGTTGTGTGGGGTAGGGAGAAGCGTGCCCACTAGGCCGTTCTGTTCATTTGTTCCTTAAATACTGTGCAGATATTAAGGGCCAGACTGTGTCCAACGGCGGCTACTGCGCACGTGAAATGTGGCTAGTACACCCCAAACACTGAATTGCTAAATTTATTTACTTTTCTAATTTCATTTGTGATTTCTTCTATGACCCATTGGTGACTCAGGAATGTGTCGATTTCTACATGTGTGTGAATTTCCTTCTGTTACTGATTTCTAATTGCATCCCAGTGTTGTCAGAAAACTTATTTTCTATGATTGATCCTTTCAAATCCATTAAGACTTGTCTCATGGCCTAGCATATGGTCTCTCCTGGGGAATGTTCCATGCGCACTTGAGAAGAATCTGTATTCTGCTGTTGTTGGGGGGAGTGGATTTTTATTTAGTTTTAATTCATTTAAATTAAAACAATGAAGCCAATACTCGATTCAGTATTGGAAACATCTAAGTATGACTGGGACAACTTGGGTACAGGAGTCTACTTTTGCAATTGTAAAGGTTGTGAACTGTGGATATAGGTCAAGTGTTTCCAATTAAAATTTAGGTCCAGATTGAGATGTGCTGTAAATATAAACTCAGCTCAGATTCCAAAGACTTTGTATGAAAGAGGAGAATGTAAAATAGCTCGTCAATCATTATTACATTATTGATTTCATGTTGTAATAATATTTTGGGTATTTGGGGTTAAATAAAATATATTAAAATGAATGTTGCCTGTTTATTTTTACCTTTTTAAAAATATATATTTTTATTGATTTCGAAGAGAGGAAGGGAGAAAGAGATTGAGACATCAATGATGAGAGAGAATCATTGATTGGCTGCCTCCTGCTTGCCCTGGACTGGGGATCAAGCCCACAACCCGGGCATATGCCCTTGACAGGAATCAAACCCGGGACCCTTCAGTCCACAGGCCGACGCTCTATCCATTGAGCCAAACCGGCCAGGGCTATTTTTACCTTTTAAGTAAGGCTACTGGGAAATTTAAAATGCCATATGTGGCTCCTATTTCATCTATGATGGAAAGCACTGGTCTAGATGTGGGGACCTCGCTAGCAGTGACAAAGCTGACAAGAATCCCTGCTGCGGGGCCTGCGCCCTAAGGGGAGGAGATGATACACAGGACAGAATCGGTCGGGTCCCGGCCGGCTCACCTCTCCCCAGTTTTAACTGGGGAAGGAAAGAGGAGCAAAGAGGAGAATAAACTGAGAGAGAGGGTGAGAGGCAGAGAGAAGTAGGGAGAGAGAGAGAGACAGCAGGAGAGATGGGGATGGAGAGGTTGTCATGGGAGCAGTCCGACTTTGGCCTTGCTGATCCGAGGCTGAGCTTGCTAGGAAGGCAGAGTCCGGACCTCCACCCCAGACCCATGTCTACAGGACCTGAGCTTCAACAGACCCCCCAGCAGGTCCCAGCACTCAGTGTGACACACTCTAGTCCAGATTGTCCTTCTGCCTACCTCCCTCGCCCCATGACTTCTTTCTTCCCCCAGAGATTTCAGAACAAGGCTGCTTTCCTCAGGAATCCTTCCTTGATCCCTTCCAGGCGTGACAGATAAAAGCTGTCCCTCCATTGGTCACTCCATCCTCCTTAGTGGTACTCATCTTAGTTTGTAACAGGATTTTGGGAGAGGGTTTGCTGGAGGAGTGAGTGGTGGGTGAGAGATGCTACACAATTAACATCCATGTTTCCTGTGTCTGCTCCCAGGGCAGTATCCATGTCTGCCTTTCCAACAAAGGACCTGGGGCCCAGCACACAGCTGGCAAACAGTGGTATTCAAGTCTTTCATAGTGAAAAAAAAAAAAAGGATGGATGAATGGATGGATAGATGAGTGGATGGATGCCTGGATGGATGAATGACTGGGTGGTGGGCGGGACAGATAAGTGGTTAGGGGATATAGGGTGGATGGGTGACTGGCGCTCCCAATTTCGATCTTTTGTTTTCAGAGGGATATTGGCAAACTAGGGTGTGGCCAGAAGTGTGCTGGCGAAAGCAAGCGTGCCTCTTCCCTGCTTCTGGAGGAGGAAAAATAATAATTGCCAAGCATGTGGTTAAAGTATCAAGATGACATGAATTCCCACCTCGACTGTGTGTCATGGTAGCGAATAGAAAAGGAGAATCTGTGAAAAATCGCCGTGCCATCTGGTGGACAGACCTGGTAAGTACGCTCACCCTGTGGCCGCAGGTGGCGCCCTCTAGTGGCTGGTCAGAAAGGCTGGGATGCGCCTGGTAAGAGGGGCTGAGAGGCTGGTGGGAGTGTGCAGCTGCGGTGGGAAGATGCAAAAGTGATTTCGGCCTAAAAATCTTGGGGAGCAACTGGCGGGGAAGACTTGTGGCCCAGAGAAGGAAGACCCTTCAAATGGGAAGAACTGGCCACGGGGCCCAGGGGAGCAGTTAGCTCCCCCAGGGAGGAGATTGTGCTTGTCAGGGCCTCCCTGAGTCCCGTCGGCTGTCACGCCCACAGCAGGGAAGCCTGGGCCAGGGGACCAGAGATCCAAGTTTGAGTCCTGCACATGCTGTGTTCCCTGGGGCCAGCCCCTCCCCCTCTCTGGTCCCCCGTTCTCTTATCCGAGGGGCTTCCCTCTGGGTCTGGGATTTCTCATTTAGGCCAGTGGAACCCCTGGAAGCAGAGTGAGGGGCTCAGCCTTGGGGTCTTCCTGAAGGGGGGCTTCCCTCCCAATCTCTGCCCACCCCGGCCTGGTGGGGCGCCCTCTGCTGGGAGACTAGGAGGAGGAGACCTACTTGCCGACGGCGAAGGCATAGGCCCCCGGCCAGAGGTTGGAGCGCACGATCGCCACGGAGTACTGCGGGCAGAGGGAGCAGGACAGGCGGGCGGTCCAGGGTGGCATGTGCATGATCTCTGTGGGGACGTGGAGAGCACCAGGAGGTCAGAGGCTCCACTGCTGGCTGCCCACGCCCAGGGAGGGGCGGGACGGGGTGAAGAGGGGTGTGGAGGGAACTGTGGTGGCTTCAGCGCTGGAACCCTGCTCGGGACCACCCTCTTCCCGTGCGCCCCAGGGAGCCATGCCGTCTGTCGGAGCCTCGGTGGCTGCACCCGGAAGGGAGGTACTAATCTGGGCCAGCGGCTGCCATTCTCCCTCCAGGGGCCATTGGTTTGGACCAGAGGGCACAGGGCAGTGCAGGGCTCACGTGGGCTCTGTCCACGCCCACTCCCATCTCAGCCCCCCCTGCCTGCTTCCTCCAGGTGCCTGAGGCCCCAACCTCAGGCGATGACTGTCCCTTCTTCCAAAATCCCGTCTAAGCTCCTCCTCTTCTGGGAAGGCCCCCCTAACTCTCTCTCCTCTCTCTCTCTCTCTCTTTCCCCAAGCCCACATCACCCCAGGTGGGCACTGCCCTGCTGTGCGCCAGACACAACTCACAAGGTGGACGCTTGCTTTCCGTAACCCCAGGAGGAAGCCTGTCATGTTGTCCGTTTTATAGGTGAGAGAACAGCTTATGACTCTGCAATGTTCTAGCTTGGCCCTTTCTCATCCTGCCCCCCCACACTTCCGGCTGGAGGCACAAGGTGAGGAAGCCCTTACCTGCATCTTCTGAGAGTGGCGTCAGCAAAGGGGGCCCGATCTCCTGCTCCGCCTCCTCCATCCCCTCATCGGCCTTCTCTTCCTCCTCCCCCAGCTCCTCCTCCTCCTCCTTCTTCTGCAAAGGGTTCACCCAAGTGCAGCGGCCCTGGAGGTGGGGGAAAGTCAGGCGGCACCCGGGGGACAGAGGACAGCCTGCACTCTGGGAGGCGGTGCAGGGCCAGGCAGGACCCTGGGGACTGTCCTCAGGGACCCAGGTAAGGGCAGGAGGACAGGGTTAGTCACATAAGTTGGGGGCAGAAAATGGGCCCAGATAGCTGTTGCACTGAGGTAGGGACTCCTGCCTCTTGAGAGCTGTGTGGCCCTCATCTGTGCATTCATTCATTCATTCATTCATTCATTCATCAGATACTTAATGAGCACCTACTATACACAGGCTCTGCTCTAGGTGCTGGGGTGCACCCTTGAGGAAAGAGACCCCAAATCTCTGCCCTGTGGAGCCGACATTGGGCAGCCCGCATAAGCTTCGGTTTTCCCAGCTGTGAAATGGGGGTGTTATAGATGCCTCTCCCATTGGATTGCTGTTGGGCTACACGAGATACTGAAGAGCTGGTAAGTGTTTGCTGAAGGGATGAATGAACCCAAGTGCACAGTATATTGCAGAGTTCAGTTTCATCAACTGTGAGGTGGCAATGAGAGCTGTACGGATCTCCAGAGGAGTTATTTGGATTTATTAAAACCTTGTGGAATCAATAAATATTTATTGAATGAATGAATGAATGATCCTAAGCCTATAGCCAGTGTTTCCTTGAATGAGTAAATACATGGGCATAAAGTTCAGACACACAGGCATTCAATAAATGCAGGTCCGCAACCTCTTATCCACAACCAACGCTAAAACCCGAAAAGCTCTGAGAACCAGAAGTCTGTCCTGAGTCATTTGGCAGCGCCCCTGACCTGAGTGGCGGGAGGGAGGCCGGGCAGTTTTGCTGCAGAAAGAGCGATGAGGCCTTTGAGCACGGCTGCAGCCCCAGCCGTGCCTGAGGTGTCGCACGCTTCATGGGACATGCCGTGACCTTTCTAAAACCTGAAAAATTCAGAACTCCAAGATGCCTCTGGCCCCAAAGGATTCTGACTTACCTTTGAGTGAACGAGTGCATGAGGAACGGGTGGATGAGTGAATGAATGAAGGAGGGCTCAGCACCATGGCCAGCAGAGAGCTATTGACCCTGATATTACGGGGGAGTCACACCTGAGCCCCCGGTTCTGGGACAGGTGGGGGCCGGGTTCTCACCTGCGGAAGGATGTGCTGCATGTGGTGCACCCAGTTGGCCATGGAGTCCACCAGCTCAAACACGGGGATGCCCTCAAAGTCCGGGTTCTCCTCGAAGGAGTCTCGCCCTGCACCGCCCTCCTCCTCCTCGTCGCCCTCCTCCTCGTTGAACTGGTAGAAGCCCAGGGGGCTGATGTGCGTGGCCGACGAGATGCGCGCGATCTGGGCCCGCAGGTAGTTGGCCTCGTTGCCCGGGAAGGGCGGGTAGCTGATGACGGGCGCGTCCAGGTAGCCGGTGAAGAACTTCTTGATCTTGCGGGCCTGCGCGATCTGGCTGGGCGTGACGTGTGGCAGCCTGGTCCACGGCCGGCCCGGCTCATTGCACACGAAGTACAGGTACTTGTTGGTGCCCGAGCGGCTCTCCTCCTTGGGGATGACAGGCGGTGGCTTCCAGAGCGGCTTGGGGATGACGTCGGCGACCTTGTCCTCGTCCTCCTCGCCCTCCTCCTCGCCGTGGGCGTCCATGACCTCGCCGCTCTCGGTCAGCTCCTCCACCTCCTCCTCCTCCACCTCCTCCTCGCCCTCCCGGAACTCCACCTCGGCCACCAGGTAGCTGCGCTTGAGCCCCAGAATTTTGCCCCAGAAGCGACAGGTGTGGATGGGCTGCTGCTCTACCAGCTGCCTCAGGGCCAGGAAGAGGCGGAAACTCTCGTCGGAACTCAGGCCCACGCCACCCTGTTCGAAGTAGAAGGCTGACTCCATGACGTTGGGCACGGCCGTGTCTACCTGCAGAGGGGAGGGTGGAGGGCAGAGGGAAGGGAGCTGGAACTCTGCTCCCTGGCCTGACTCTCCTGGAGGCCAGAGAGCCCAAGTACTGGGTAACCCAGCCACTCCTGCCGCCCTCTGGCATTTAGAAGCGGGGCACGTCCTTGGGGAGGATGTCCCTTGAGGGAAAAGGCAAAATCACACTAAGAAAAAGTCCTTTCTTTCTTCATCGTTCCCTCTCGTTCCTGCCTGGAGTGGGATGTGAGAGCTGGAGTTGCAGCAGCTATATTGGGACCATGAGGCAACTCATGTCTTACGCCCTCATGGTGCTGGAGCTGACAAGGTGGAAACGGCCTGGTCCTCGGTGAGCCGCCTCACCTCCCCACTGCTGGCCATGTTTACTGTTACAGTGGGGCCTTGACTTACGAGTGTCCCGACTAACGGGTTTTTCCAGATACGAGCCGTCTCTCGGCCGATTTTTTGCTTTGAGTTGCGAGCTAAAATTCGGGTTACGAGCCAGCTTCAGATACCCCACCGCTAGTTGGCGCAGCGAACGTCACGGTGAACGCCACAACATCAGCCCAGCATCACGTGTCTCACTCGTTCACTTTTGATTTGACATCCGAGTCATTTGAGTTACGAGCTCCGTCACGGAACGAATTAAACTCGTCAGTCAAGGCCCCACTGTACTTGCAACTAAATGCACTTTTAAGAGACACCCCCAAATCACACAGCAAATTAAGAGGCAGGTCTTGAACCCAGGAATCAGTGATGTTGGAGGATGGCGGTGACAAATCTTGCCCTCACTGCCTCCTTTTTCACCGTCTGCTTTGTTCAGGACGAGAGAGAGAGAGAGAGCAGAAAGGGAGTAAGAACAAGAAAGTCAAGGGCTGGGATTAGACTACAGGGAGGTTTCGGCCCAATTGCCCCATATCCGTTCGGCCACAAGGCTGTCCCGATATTTCTTCGTTCAGTCAGTCCAGAAATCTTTATTAAAGACCCAATGAGCACGAGGTCCAGACTAGCGTGCGCACTAACGTGTCAGAGAACAAAGCTGATGCTCAGGAGTCGGCACCACCTGCCCTCGGCCCTGGCCAGCCCAACTGAGCGGGGGACACACAGCCCCGGTCAGGGAGACAGCGGCTCCCTTGCCAGGATGGAGCGAGGGGGTGTGCTGGGTGGGCGGAATAATGATCGCACCAAAAAGTCCGTGTCCTGCTCCTGGGGCCTGTGAACACGTGAGCTTACATGGCAAAAGGGGCGTGCAGCCCTAGCCTGTTTGGCTCAGTGGATAGAGCATCGGCCTGCGGACTGAAGGGTCCCGGGTTCGATTCTGGTCAAGGGCACGTGCCCGGGTTGTGGGCTCGATCCCCAGTGGGGGGCGTGCAGGAGGCAGCCGATCGATGATTCTCTCTCATCACTGATGTTTCTATCTCTCTCTCCCTCTCTCCCTCTCCCTTCCTCTCTAAAATCAATAAAATTTTTTTTTTTTTTTTTTTTAAAGGGACATGCCGGTGTGATCAAATGGGGGGTCTTGGGATGGAGAGATTGCCTGGTTATCAGGGTTGGCCCCAGGAAGTCACAAGGGTCTTTTTTTTAAAATATACATTTTATTGATTTTTTTACAGAGAGGAAGGGAGAGGGATAGAGAGTTAGAAACATTGATGAGAGAGAAGCATTGATCAGCTGCCTTCTGCACGCCCCCTACTGGGGATGTGCCCGCAACCAAGGTACATACCCTTGACTGGAATCGAACCTGGGACCCTTCAGTCCGCAGGCTGACGCTCTATCCACTGAGCCAAACCGGTTAGGGCCACAAGGGTCTTGATAAGAGAAAGGAGGAGGCAGGAGAGGTTGACAAGGCGATGGCAGAGCAGAGGTCAGGGTAAGAGATTTGAAGATGCCCCCTGCTGGCGCTGAAGACGAGGAAGGAAGGAAAAGCCAGGGAAACAGATTCTCCCAGGAGCCTCCGTGAGGAAGGCAACCCTTGCCTTCACCTTGAATTTAGCCCAGTGAAGCCCAGTTCACTGACCGCCAGCACTGTAAGCGGGTACAGGAGGTTGTCTTAAGCTAACTAAGTTTGTGGTGATTGGTTCCAGCAGCAACAGGGAACCAACCGGCGGTCAACCTCTCCGTGTGGCTGGAGGTGAGACACCTAAGTGTGTAAATGTGAAGCGGCTGGCTCTCTGCATGGAGGGACGATGGCGGCCAGTTTACAGAAAGAAAAAAACAGGACCAAGCCCAGCTGGAGTGGCTCAGTGGTTAAGCATCGACCTATGAACCAGGAGGTCACGGTTCCATTCCTGGTCAGGGCACATGCCTGGGTTGCGGGCTCAATCCCCAGTGTGGGGTGTGCAGGAGGCAACCGATCAATGATTCTCTCTCATCATTAATGTTTCTATCTCTCCCTCCCTCTTCCTTCCTCTCTGAAATCAATAAAAATGTATTTTTTAAAAAACAGATATTTCCCTGGGACCTCTTCTAAAATCTCCACCCTGGTCCTAACTGGTTTGGCTCAGTGGATAGAGCGTCGGCCTGGGGACTGAAAGGTCCCAGGTTCGATTCCGGTCAAGGGCATGTACCTTGGTTGCGGGCACATCTCCAGTAGGGAGTGTGCAGGAGGCAGCTGATCGATGTTTCTCTCTCATCGATGTTTCTAACTCTCTATCCCTCCCCCTTCCGCTCTGTAAAAAATCAATAAAATATTAAAAAAAAAAAATCTCCACCCTGTAAACCCTTCAGAGGGAGGGCTCAGTTCGCTCTCCCGCCTGGGAGCACACCAGTGTCTTTCCCATCCCCCTCCCCACTCAGCCCCCAGCTCCAAGGGCCCATCCTTTGCCTCCATAATCCTCTCCTCAGCCCATTTCTTCTACGAATTACTCTCTCTCCCTCTGTGATTTTATATGTAAATGTTCTTTTTTAAAAAAATATATATTTTAATTGATTTTTTACAGAGAGGAAGGAAGAGGGATAGAGAGTTAGAAGCATCGATCAGCTGCCTCCTGCACACCCCCTACTGGGGACGTGCCCGCAACCAAGGTACTGGAATCGAACCTGGGACCCTTCAGTCCGCAGGCCGACGCTCTATCCACTGAGCCAAACCAGCCAGGGCTGTAAATGTTCTCTTATAGTTTGAGTCTTGGCTCTGAATTCTTTCCTAGCCAGAACCCAGGTCTGGTCCCACCCCACTGGTCTCACACCTGGTGGGGCTTCCACTGCCTACAACACAACCACATCTAAACGGTCTCACCCTGCCCTTCCGGCCACTGCTGATTGGAGCAAGAGTGGTCAACTGCCCCCGAAGGACAGATCAGGCTCTGCTGCTCCCCCCTGCACACTGCTCCTTTCGGGGCGGGAGGGCAGGGGTGAGGGGAGGAGACAGCCAGCCCTCAGTGCCCCTTTGCTGGGAGCCACCTTGCCAGCCCAGGACTGCTTGCAACCTGACTCTCAGGTGTGAGGAAAGCCTGTATCTCATCTCAGCCACATATCTCCATTTCTGCGACATCACCCGCTTCCTGTCTTAACGTGACCTGTACGCCCAGCAAGAAGAGGAAGGTGTTAGTGTTTGGGCTGTGACACCATAATACTAGAGCAGTGATGGCGAACCTTTTGAGCTCGGCGTGTCAGCATTTTGAAAAACCCTAACTTAACTCTGGTGCTGTGTCACATATAGAAGTTTTTTGATATTTGCAACCATAGTAAAACAAAGACTTATATTTTTGATATTCATTTTATATATTTAAATGCCATTTAACAAAGAAGAATCAACCAAAAAAATGAGTTGACACGCGTGTCATAGGTTCGCCATCACTGTACTAGAGCTAGTCTAAGATTGTAAACGTGGAAATAGGAACTTTTCACATCAGAGGCCACAGTGACGAGAGCCTCAGGCTCCCGAACAGCCAGCCCTGCTCTGCGGCGCTGACCACAGCAAGCAGGAAGCCGGCCAGAGTGCGAAGGCACAGACTAGAGCAGCGGTTCTCAACCTTCTGGCCCTTTAAATACAGTTCCTCACGTTGTGACCCAACCATAAAATTATTTTCGTTGCTACTTCATCACTGTCATGTTGCTGCTGTTATGAATCGTCATGTAAATATCTGATATGCAGGATGGTCTGAGGCGACCCCTTGAAAGGGTCGTTCGACCGCCAAAGGGGTCGCGACCCACAGGTTGAGAACCGCTGGCCTAGTGAGTCCAGAAACGGACCGAGCGTCCTGCACAGGTAAACACCCATGGCCGAGGCGGCATTTCTCAGCAGGGGAGTCATGGCTAGCCACGGAAAGAAACAGAAAACGAGAGGGTGAGAGCCCTTCCTCCCATCAGACAGAATAGATATATATAAAATGCCGAGTCATCAATTTCTTTGAGTCTCTTCCAAGAAGCCTGCACAGACCACAAACTTCCACATTTTGCCCTTCTGCAGGCCTCACATTACGAACTCCAGTTCCTACCCTAGCTGGGTTGGCTCAGTGGATAGAGTGTCGGCCTTCGAACTGAAAGGTCCCAGGTTCGATTCCGGTCAAGGGCACATGCCCGGGTTGTGGGCTCGATCCCCAGTGGGGGACATGCAGGAGGCAGCCGATCCATGATTCTCTCTCATCATGGATGTTTCTATCTCTCTCTCCCTCTCCCTTCCTCTCCGAAATCAATAAAAATATATTTTAAAAAAAAAAGAACTCCAGTTCCTTCCAGCCTAGCCCATTTGGTTCAGTGGATAGGACATCCGCCTGTGGACTGAAGTGTCCTGGGTTTGATTCGGGTCAAGGGCACATGCCCAGGTTGTGGGCACGATCCCGTCATGCAGGAGGCAGCCAATCAATGATTCCCTCTCATCACTGATGTTTCTATTTCTCTTTCCCTCTCCCTTCCTCTCTGAAATCAATTAAAAAAAAAGAAGAAAGAAGAACTCTAACTCCAAGTTCTAAGGGGCAGACCCTCCCAAGAGATTGAAATTCAATGGGGCGGAGCTTCAAAAGCCACAAAGTTATAAGGAGGCGGAGCCTCTAGGGGTAAAGCATTCTAAGGAGGCGGGGCCTTAAAGGACTTGATTGTGTGTGGGGTTGGGGTGTGTAGGACCGAAGGTGCAGTTCTAAGGGGGTGGGGGCTCCCCAGGAGAGACTGTTGATTTGAAATGCAAAACTATATTCTCAAATAAAACTAAACTGTCCCCCTTTGTGCCTAAAACTTGTATTCCCAAGTGCACTCTGCTCACCAGGGCTCATTTCTTTGCCAGATTGTTGTTCCTGGTTCTCTCACCAGCCCACCCCACTCTCACCAGAATCCTAGCATCTCAGAAGCCAGCACAGACACACCGCATCTGCAGTCCGGGCAGAGCTTAGCACGGCTTTGGAGGCCAAGGTCTTGCCTTCCTGGTTCCCTCTGAGCCCAAGTCCTTCTTCTACAACTCTATCTATACATATAAAAGCCTAATCAACCGTTCCACCATTCAACTGTTAGCTATGACACACACTGACCACCAGGGGCCAGATGTTCCGACCGGTAGGTTAGTTTGCTGCTGGGGTCTGGCTGATCGGGACTGGGCTAGATGGGCTGGACATGCCCTGGAGCCCTCTTGCGGTCCTTCCCCAGCTGGCCAACCTCCTGCATCCCTCCCCGGCCCCAATTGTGCACTGGGCCTCTAGTACGAACATAATAAGTAGCAGTTGCCTTGCGGGTTGTTTCAGGGTTGAAAGGAGCCAACACTCCTGAAGGTCTTCGCAGAGGGCGTAAGAGGCGTCAGAGTGATCATAAACAGAGAGTCCTCAACAAATGTTTCTTGAACGAGTGAAAGAATACTCCGCCCGAATTTTAGGCAGTCATCCAGTTCTGGAAATGAGTCAGTGGGAGAGTTCCTAGCAGGTCTCAACTTACAAAAGGGGAAACCGAGTCCAGGGGGTAGGGGACAATTCAGTGCTGAGAGATCCCAGGAGGCAGTGTTTCACAGAAAACACTGCAAAGCTGGAATTTTGGGGGAGGGAGGAGTGAGGGAGGGTGGGAGAGGCCAGCCTCCACCTCCACATGGCAGCTGGAGTCAGCTTCCCAAAGTGCAGGGCTGACCAGCCTTTCCTGGGCTTCCAGTGGCCTCGGGAGAAAGCCTGTACCCCTTCGCCCTCTGTGACAGGGTCCCGGCCCCTCCCCTGGACACACACACATTAAACTGAGATCATCTGCATGTCTGGAGTCCACAGGCTGCCTCACTTCCAGGCTTCCGCACAGGCGATGCCCAAGCCTGGGCCGCCACTCACCCGCCACGCCTCCCCACGGGCTCACTCACCACCTCCTCCTCCATCTCCTGCTCGCCCTCAGCACTGCCGCCGCCCCGGACGAACAGCGACTTCTGCCTCTCGGCCATCTCGTAGGTGGGCTGCATCTCGGGGTCATCCCGCAGCGAGTCCAGCTTGGGGTGGAACCACTCCAACTGTGTGGTGCGGTTCAGCGACTCCAGGATGGACAAGGGGTCCTCTGGGCGCTGGTTCAGGATTTTGGTCAGCATGTTCACCAGGTGCTCATACCTGCCTCCGGAGGGGGGGGAGGGGGGGCATGACTCGCTCAGCTCACTGCTCTATGCCTGGCCCTGGGCCTGGCCCCGGGGACACAGCAGAGGAGACAAGATCCCTGACGGGGTGGAGCTGACATTCTGATGATGGAGACAGACATTAACCAAATATGCAAAATACATACTGTCAGGGGTGATCATTTCTAAGGAGACAGTAAAGCAGGGAATGGGACTGGGAATGCCCGGGATAGGGGGTGGTTTGCAATTTTCAGCAGGAGGAAGGAAAATCATTCCATGCTGATCTCATTTAGAAAAGAGATGCTGAAATCCGAAGCAAAAGGGCATCCAGCAATTGCTCAAAAGGATGACACGCCATGGTTAAACTGGATGAATTGACAGGGATGTAAGACTGGACGGATGTTAGAAAAATAGAAAAAACTATAACTCGTCATGACAGTGTGTTAAAGGGGCTCTGTAAGATCACCTCAATAGGTGCAGAGAAATCCTATATAATAAAAAGCTAATATGCAAATCAACCGAACAGCAGAACGACCGATCCCTATGACGTGCACTGACCACCAGGGGGCAGACACTTAATGCAGGAGCTGCCCCCTGGTGGTCAGTGCACCCCCACAGGGGGAGCGCCGCTCAGCCAGAAGCGGGGCTCACAGCTGGAGAGCACAGCAGCAGTGGCAGGAGCCTCTCCCGCCTCCGCGGCAGCGCTAAGGATGTCCGACTGACGACTTAGGTCCGCTCCCCCTGGACGTCCTCTGAGGGCTCCTGGTCTGCAAGAGGGCACAGGCCAGGCTGAGGACCTCCCCCGCCCCCACACACACACCAAGTGCATGAATTTCATGCGCTGGGCCTCTAGTTGTTTGATAAAATTCAACACCCATTCATGATTTTTAAGAACCTAGGAAATTGCCCTCACCGGTGTGGCTCAGTGGATAGAGCGTCGGCCTGCGGACCGAAAGGTCCCGGGTTCGTTCCCGGTCAAGGGCATGTACCTTGGTTGCGGGCACATCCCCAGTGGGGAGTGTGCAGGAGGCAGCTGATCGATGTTTCTCTCTCATCGATGTTTCTAACTCTCTATCCCTCTCCCTTCCTCTCTGTAAAAAATCAATAAAATATATTTAAAAAAATAAAATAAAAACCTAGGAAACCAAGAACAGAAGGCAAATTTTAAATAGTCTTGTAAAGGATAGCTACAAGTAACCTACAGCACACACCAAACATGACAAAAGACTATAGTGCTTTCCACTAATCGATTGGGGATGCCTGCTTTCACTTCTATTTAATTCTGCACTGGAGGCTTCAGCCAATGCAATCTGACATGAAAAAGAGAAGTATTGAAAAGGAAGAGGCAAAGCTGTCATGGTTCATAGATGATGTGATTGGGAATGCCGTGCAAAGGCCTAGAGCTGAGGCTGTGCCTAGCGTGTGGAAGGAACACAGAGGAGGTCGGAGTGGCTGGAGGGGAGTGAGGGCGAAGGGCTGTGGTAGGAGCGGAGGCCGGAGTGATAACCGTATGGCAATGGTTTCCAGTCACCAAGTCAGGCAGTAAGTTGGGCGCCTGAGAGCAGTGTTGAATTCTCACCGCAGTCATAGGAGGAACAATGATGGTCCGCACCCTCCAGATAAGGAAACTACGGCTTAGGAAATGTGAGGTCTAGTTGTATTTGGTAGCACAGCCAGGACTTAACACCAGGACCGACTGGTTTGCTTCCACAGCGTGTCTATCCGAACGCCTGTGGTGTGGAAACCCTTTGGCAACGTCTTGGGGGTGGTGGAGGGCCATCCATTTGGAAGGGTAAGGAGAGGTCAGCATCTGGCCAGGGCTTTTCGATAAGGGAACTTGAAGCTCTAGGGGGCTGGGAACTGCTGGGGAAGTGCGACTGGTTGATTCTGACTGACTCTAGTGGTTCTCAACCTTCCTAATGCCGCGACCCTTTCATACAGTTCCTCATGTTGTGGTGACCCCCAATTTCATTGTTACAAATTGAACCTAATGAAAGCATAGTGATTAATCACAAAAACGATATGTAATTATATCTGTGTTTTCCGATGGTCTTCGGCGACCCCTGTGAAAGGGCCGTTCGACCCCCAAAGGGGTGGCGACCCACAGGTGGAGAACCTCTGCTCTAGGAGATGAAGTTTCGAGAGCAGGCAGGGGGCTGAGTTATATTTAATCCTGTGACTTCTGCAACCTCATCTCCTCCCCTGGCTCTAGTCACACCAGCTTCCTCGCTGCGCCTCAAACACAGCCACCCTTAAAGCCTTCAGACTTGCTGTGTCCCACACGCTTGGTGGTTGGCAAGGTGCTCTCCCTCACCATGCTCAGGTCACTGACCACGCTGGCTGCTCAGCGAGGCCTTCCCTGACCTTAGGCTCTTCACCGTGCGCTCCCTCTCCCCGCATCCTGCCTTATTTTCCCACCTTCCCATGCATTGTACTCATCGTCCGTTCTCCCACTAGAATGTGAGCTTCATGAGGAGGTCATGGGGAAGGGGGCTGAGGATGCGTATGACTACAGACAAGTGGCCTTGGCTAGTGCCTTCCTCCAGCAGGAAAGTTTAGTAAATAGCAGCCCCTTCCCCCCCAGCTCCCGCCCCCCAATCATCTGAGCGGGAATCCCGGCTCTGCCACATTGGAGCTGTGTTATCTGGGACGCGGGCCCTCATTTCTGTGTCTGATTCCGCCTCTAAAATAGGGACAGTGGAGGTGCCCATCTCAGCTGTGAGCACGAAGGGCAACGTGTGCAGGGCTGGCCCAAAGCCTGGTGAGTAACGATTGGCTTTCCAGCTACTGTTAGTATTTAGTCCGAGTCCGACGGCTCCGGAGCAATCCCCGGGCTGGGGAGCCCCCGGAGCCTGAGGGGGGTCTTGGCGGGCCGCTCCCCGCCGGGCCCGTCCCTCCCCGCTCGGGGCGCCCTCTCACAGGCTCAGGTCGCAGCGGATGCTGGTCTGCAGCAGGTAGGCCTTGGCGTTCTGCACGGCCAGCTCCCGGGGCTCCGGCTCCGACACCTCCATGTCAAAGGGCAGGAAGCCCAGCTCGGAGGGCGAGAACTGGAGGGAAGGGTCTTCGCTCGCGTAGGGCCCGTGCGGGGCCTCCTCGCCGAACGGCTGGTCCTCTCTCCGGTACGCGAACTGGCCCGCGGCGTCGGGCTGGGGGTCCTGGAAGGCCGCCTCCAGCTGCTGGAGGAGGCTGCCCCGGCCCTGCTGCAGCTGCTCCAGGAGCTCGGCCTCCAGCCCGTCCTCGTCCAGGTAGGCCTGGCGCTGGGCGTCCGAGAGCAGGTACTCCGCGCTGCCCCCCGGCTCCTCGTCGGGGCCCAGGCCGGCCCCCGGCGCCCAGCCCTGGCCCGCCGGCCCCTCCTGGCTGCCCCTCGGGGCTGCGAGCTGCGCCGGCGGCGCCTCCGGGGGCAGCGAGAACTGGACGAAGGGGGCCTCCCCGCTGCGCCGCGGCTCGGAGCCCTGGGAGCTGCCGGGCGGCGGCTGCTCGGGGTCGGGCGGCGGGTCCCCCATCGTCCGCGGAGGGAGGCGTGCGGACCGGCCGGCCGGTTGCCGCCCGCGCACACGCCCGGTAGCTGCCGGTTTCCCAGGAGGGCGGGGCGGGCGTCCGCGCAGGCGCAGCCCGGGGGGTGGGGTGGGGTGGGGGTGGGGGTGGGGGTGGGGGTGTCCCCAGCCGCCCGCGGGGCCCGTGGCTGAGGTGCTGAGCGGAGAGACGACAACCGCGCCCCAGACCCACGATCCTTTTTTTTTTTAATTATTTTTTTTGAAAGGCAAAGCACCCCTCCCCGCCCCCCCCACTCCCCTCCCCCCCAAGCCCGTCAGCTGTTCCCCTTGGTCTCGGGGTCCCCGGCTTCCTCGGCGGCCGTGGCGGGGGGGCTGGGGGTCTTCCCGCGGTCTTCGCCGGCGGGGGTGCGGGGCTGGGGGCTCCTCTCCTCCTTGGGGGCCGCGCCCGCTGCTGCCTCCTGGGGACGGGAGGGGGGCCGGTCAGGACAGCTGCTGGGCTGTGCCCGCCCCGCCGCCTCTGGGCCCGGAGACACGCTGCCCGGGCCCTGCGCTCCTTCCTCGCCGCTCCGCGGTGCCAGCCCTACCTTAGGCAGCGGCCCCTCGAGGCTCGAGTCCAGCAAGGCGGCCTCCGGCAGCCCCGGGTCCTCGTCCACGCTGATGAAGATGGCCGGGGTCTCCCCCTCGGGCCCCTCCTCCCGGAAATCCACGGCTTCGTCCGGCTGCGGGGGCCCCGGCCTGGCCGAGGAGGAAGAGGGGGCTCCCACTCCCCCCGGCTTCAGCTTCTGTTCCTCCTCCAGCTGCCGCTTTAAGGCCTTCTCCTGGGCCAGCCGCAGGCCCATGAGGTCCTGGGGGGGTCTGGGGGCCGGGGCGGGGGCGGGGGCCGGCGCCAGGGGCTCCAGGTCATCCTGGGGGCGGGAGGGGCACACAGAAGCTCAGGGGGGCGTGGGGCTCGGGCCCGGGCCCAGGCTGCTGAGGATGGTGGCAGACAGCAGGATGGGCACGGAGTCAGGGCACCTGCCCCCCACCCACCTCCCTTTCAGCAGGAGCCTCCCAGAGCGGCGCGGTGTCGGGCTGGGGGACCCTCACCTCCTCCAGGGGCCCTGCAGGAGTCTCCTTGGCCTCCGGCTCCTGTTTGCCACTGGCCTCCAGGATGGCCATGATGGAGTTGGGGATGTGTGCTTGCTAGGGGAAGAGCAGGGTGGGGTGCTGCGGAGAGCTCTAACCCAGAGACCCCTCCTGGGCACCCCAGATGCCTGGCTGGTGCCTGGCCCTCCAGAACCCTTGACATTCTGTGGCACTGCAGGGCTCCCCTCTGCCCGCTCCCCTCTGCCCACTCCCCTCCAGTCCCCCGGGGCCGGACCCATGGGGCCAGCCACCCCACATCTTGGGATACCTGGTGGGGGGTGAAGGAGCGGACATGGGCCAGCAGGGGCTCCCGGAGCTCTGGGCACTTGTCAAACACGGCGCCCAGCTGCTGGGGCGGCAGCTGCAGGATGACCTGGAAGCTCTGGGGCTTGGTGCGTTGACAGCATTTGATGAAGCCCTCCCACACTTTGGGGTACTTCCACACCTGGATGGGGCAGGGAGGAAGGGGGCGTGAGGGGGCATGCAAGTGGCCACCCTCGGAACCGGAGGGACCGTGCCAGGATGGGGCCTTGCTGGGGCTCACATCCCTGCCATCACAGACTCCCTTCGGGCTCCACACAGCCCTGACCTCCTGACCGAGGACCTAACTGCCTCTTCTCGCTGCAGCTGGGGCAGGAGGACAAGGAGGGAGGAAAACAGTGCCCTTTCACCCTGGTCTCCCTGGGCCAGGCCCAGGCTGTGTTGTGAGCATTTCATTCCCACAGCGGCCTCCAGGGGGCGTCATTCGCCCTGAGAAACAGAGGAGGCCGGAGAGACGCAGGGATTTGCCCAAGGTTACCCTGGTAACTAGAGGCAGAACCAACATTTGACCCAGGTCTGTGTGAATCTGCACTTAACCTCTAAGCCAGATGGAGCAACGTGGCCGCCTGTGGGCTGAGTCCAGCCCGAGGGCTGGTGGAGGTTTTCGGTTTCATCATGGTATCCTGAAAACCCAGATTTCTAGCTTCTCTTGAAAACCGGCCCACCTTTCAGCTCTAGGATGCATCCTGCCTAGGTGCACAGTGGTGGGGAAAGGGCAGCCATGCCTCTCCTGGGACGCGCACCCCTGAAGTCTACTGCCTGCTTCTAGCACCCACCCACCCATCAGGTAGCTGCCCCATGGCTGAAGCCGGACCCCTGGAGCGCCAAGGGCAGGGCAAAGGCCTGGCCAGTGTGGGTGGAGCTTGCTCTCCTCATCTGGGCTCCCTCTAGGGCAGCGGTTCTCAACCTTCCTAATGCCGCGACCCTTTAATACAGTTCCTCAAGTTGTAGTGACCCCCAACCATAACATTATTTTCGTTGCTACTTCATAACTGTAATTTTGCTACTGTTATGAATTGTAATGTAAATATCTGATATGCAGGATGTATTTTCATTGTTACAAATTGAACATAATTAAAGCATAGTGATTAATCACAAAACCAGTATGTAATTATGTTTTCTGATGGTCTTAGGCGACCCCTGTGAAAGGGTCGTTCGAACCCCAAAGGGGTCGCGACCCACAGGTTGAGAACCGCTGCTCTAGGGAGTGAGGCAGGCAGGCTGGAGAAGCCTGCGGTCCGGCCTCATCTACCTTAGTTCCTGCTGCAGCCAGTCCACTGCCGGGGGACTGGGCGGTCAGGGCGGTTACCTGCTTCATGATGAGGCGGGACAGGATGTTCATGACGAAGCCCCCCAGGCGGGGGTACATGGTCAGGGACTGGATGACGGTCCTCATGAGCAGCATGGGCAGGGGGCTCTGCTCCATCAGCTGCTGCATCACCACGGCCAGCACCTCCGACGTGTACACGTTCCGCTCCGCAAAGCACAGGTTGGTGGCTGCGAGGAGGCGGAGAGTGGGCCTGTCCTCTCTGCCCGGCTGCCCCCGGGGGTGGGAGCGCCACCACCCTTAGAGAGCATTGGCCCCACCTTCTGCCCGCGTGCAGACCCAAACCAACTTGCAGAAGCCCCGGGCAAAACAGGACACTGCCCCCCCCAACCCACAGCAGAGGGTCTCTTCCTGAAGGGACTGGCCTGGTCCTTGCAAGCCTGGTGGCTTGGCCCCAGGGGGAAGACATGGCCAGCTCCTGCCTGGATACTGTGGGGAGACCGTGGCCCTTCCTCTGAGGACAACCCTTGGAGAGCCGAGGCAGGAAAGACACGCTGTCAACCGCTGGGGACCCATTCTGGCTTGATTTGGGCAGCACAGCACCTCCACCCCTACTAGACAGGAAGGCAGCTCTGAATTCCATAAACACCCCGTAGTGGACAAGAGAGATGGCACTCCACCAGCAAGGGACCACCCACACCCAACCCTCCTCAGGGCATAGGGCATGTGCTACTGCTGGGGCACCAAGCCTAGAGTATGTGGGGGCACGACCCATAGAGGAATAAGGGAGGGTGAGGAAGCCTGGGTATACACTCAGCTTCCCAGCTCAGCAAGGGCCCACGGAGGGCTGGCACAACACAAGCACCCACCAAGGCCTGGGGTCCGCTCCCTCGGGAGTGGGTGGTGGCACCCTGACGTGAGCGGGATGGGTGGTGCTCCCATCCATTGTGCTAATGGGGAGGCCCCAGCCAACTGCCTCTGAACCCCCTCTTCCCCAAACACCACTGGCCATGTGAGTCTGTCAACCAGGAAGTCTTTATTGAGCTAAAAGAAAGGCCCCCAATACTTGCGAGGCTAATGGAGAACAGGGGCAGGCACTGTAAGGAAAGGGGGCAGCTCCCGTTAGGAAAAGGGGGAAGATGAAGAATTACAGGTAGACAGGTGGGAGGAGGCTGGGCAGGGGACAGGGCGGGTACCTAGGCCAAAGGGCAGCGGACAGTGTAAGTGAGGAAAGTGCCAGAGAGCACCTGCTGGACACTGAGGTGGCTGCTCCTCCCACTTCCAGGCCATCCCAGCTCCCATCTATTTTGCTGCAAAGCCTCAAGTCGGCCTCGTCCCCTCTCCTCCCCCTCAGCTCTGCCCCAGCCTCCTCCTGGGCTGCCCCCTCAGCCCTCTAACCCACCCTCCACACAGCAGACTGAAGGGTCTTTTGAAACTCAACCTGACCTTGCACCTCCCAGAGGCCCTCGAGATCCAGTCCTATGGGGGCCCAGGCGGGCTTCCTCAAGGATTACAGGCTATGCAAGTGCATCTCTTGGCCTCTGCAATTTTTCTTCCTTTCTCTGGGATGGTCTTCTCTTCTGCTGCCTCACCCCTGCTCATCCTTCTGTGGCCTCCGCTCAGGTGTCCTCTCCTCCAGGAAGCCCTCCCTGATGTCCCTCACCAGAGGCTAGGTGGCCCCTCTGAGCTCCCCTATCCCAACCTGGCTCACTGAGTTGTTACTGAGGATGGATGTGACCCCTGCAAGGGCAGGGTCAGAGCTGTCTCTATCCCCGCTGTGTTCCTAGCACAGCCCAGCACAGGGCTGAACAGAAGTGCTCAGTGAGTGAATCGCTGGACTAGACTTGAGGGCAGGTCTAGTGATAGAAAAACTCACCAGAGAAAGGGTGGTTTAATGGGGGGCATTGCTAATACTATCAGCTACTGGGGTTCGATGGTGCACAAAACAGGACTGGACTCTGATCTGGAGCTTATAGTCAAGTGGGGTTACTGGTGCCTGAGCAGAGAAACGGGCTGGGCACTGGCTGGACTGGGTGCGGGACGACAGCTGGCCGGGAGCGCCAGCAGCGGGAGGCTGTGGGCCGGGCTGGCAGGAGGCAGCGGGGCGTTCTCAAGGCCAGGCCGTGCGGACACTTCCAGGGGCTTGGTTCTCACGTGGAAAACCAGGCACTAAACCCAGATCCTCGAATGGGCTCAGCGGGTGGCGGGGTCTGCGAATCCCCTCAAATTGCACACAAAGCCGCATCGTCGTCGGGAATGAGCCCGCAACTTTCCTCAGGTCATCAAAGCGGCCAGAGAGAGAAAGCCCACTCCCGGACCCGGCTTCCGGGCCCTTCCCCGAGGGGCTGGTGGAAGTTGGTTTTTCGTTTCACCG